TGAAATCTTCGAATTCATCGAATCGTATGAGGGCTGATTTCACCCTGTTAGGGAGTTATTCTTTCTGAAGGTCGGTATCAGTGATATTGGTTTTGTATCAGAGATTCTATATTCACCCTACGATTTGCTTGACAACGTCAGAATATTGAGGGAAATATAAAAACATGAATCGATCTCGTTGGGGTTGTTTACCCCGATGGGCAATTATTCCCAATGAAACATTATATGGAACGTACCAGCGTACATGGAGTTATGCAGGAACCATCTTGCGATCAAAATCAGAATATACAGTTTCATGAAATCTTCGAATTCATCGAATCGTATGAGGGCTGATTTCACCCTGTTAGGGAGTTATTCTTTCTGAAGCTCGGTATCAGTGATATTGGTTTTGTATCAGAGATTCTATATTCACCCTACGATTTGCTTGACAACGTCAGAATATTGAGGGAGATATGAAAACATGAATCGATCTGGTTGGGGTTGTTTACCCCAATGGGCAGTTATTTTCAATGAAATCATATATTAAACGTATCAGCGTATCTGGGACTATGCAGAAACCATCTTCAAATCGAACTGAAAATATTGAGTTCAATAAAATTTTCGAATACATATAATCTATGAGGGCTGATTTCACCCTATTAGGGAGTTATTCTTTCTGAAGCTCGGTATCAGTGATATTGGTTTTGTATCAGAGATTACATATTCACCCTACGATTTGCTTGACAACGTCGGGATATTGAGGAAAATATGAAAACATGAATCGATCTCGTTGGGGATGTTTACTCCAAAGGGTAGTTATTCCCAATAACATCATATATTTCAGCGAAAATTGCCTCATTATGAATTATTTTGTCAAACTTGTTGTTGGACCAATATTTGTCTGGGCGACTATAAAATGGCGGAAGCGCAGATTCAAATCTGAAGCTAACTTCAGCCACATGTTCATTATTTCTGTTCGTTTGGATATACGAGTGAATTAGAAATCGATTCTGGAAACTTCCTTAACAAAATATATGCAGGGTTATGATTTGATGCAGCATTCATCAGAAAATTATTCAACAAAAATCAACAGGAATAAAAAAATTCAAACATCAGCGGATATGAGGATATTCATTCAGTAGGTATTCTCTGCATTTTTCGATTTCAACTCAATGTCTGTATTGTCAAGAATTCAGATATTCTGTACATATGTAATGAATGTGATCAAGAGGAAGGAAATTGTACATAAGTGTATATTATATGCATACATGTCGTTCCATGAAAATTCATTCAACTTTCCAATTCATCGCCGTGTGTTCTGATTATGTGAATCCACTGTATTCTTACGTACTCAGATCGGTTGCTGCGTCGCCAAGTAATCATTATTTATACAGATTCTTGATGGAAATTACTCCACTTTGAACTGAAATTTATTATAATTACATTATACATTGAATTCTACGGAAGCGCAGAAGGGCCAAACTGTTTTAAAATTTTATTTTTCAAATGATTCCGACTTTAATCTCGGAATTCCGACTTTAATCTCGGAATTCCGACTTCAATCTCGGAATTCCGACTTTAAACTCGGATATATTCTGTGATTCAATGGATACAGAAGAATTGGTAAGTGTTGGGGTTTTAATGATTTCATTACTAATCGGAATTACTAGTCGCAAATTTTTCAACAATAGCATCCTGAGCTCTAAACATGAAGTTTTAACACAAAACACCTAAATAAAGTGATATAATTATGTCTTCTCTATGTGAAACTGGGGTGTTTTATTGAAAAATTCGGAAATTATTTGTTATCAATTCTGTAAAATTATTTAACGTAACAATGTCATATTTGACGGGAAGTATAGGTACTATACGCTCTACTAAATCATTTCAAAAAATGTTTCTAGCTACAACCATCAGATGATTACGAAATCGGCAAGTGACTGGTTGATCTTCCTCAAACTGGCGGAATTTCAAATTACAATTTAATCACAATTTTCGGATTTTTCAATGCTTTATACGATAAAAGTTGAATATAAAGCTGCACAATTACTTCGATTTGAATGTATATTAATTGGGTCCATGTTTTGGGTTATTCGATTGCATTTATTACATAAATTAATTTTCAATCCGTTTTAAGAAAACACATAATGTCACAGGACATGAATAATTCTCAAACTTGTGATAAAACACCTATCAGTATCTTAGACCATGGAAATCATATTATATATGTATATATAATATGATTTCTATGTCTTATAGACAGGAGACATATTTAATCTAGGTGATGTGGGATTAATCCTTATATTGCGAGCATAGGATACTATATATGAATATTTCCGAATGGTAATTCATTTGTCATTTACACTTCTGAAACGAGAATACCGTCGGTATTTCAAATTTTAATAAAAAATCATCAAAGGGGAACGGCTATCGGCCTCCTTTGTCGGCTTTGCTTTTATGTCGTAAGGTCGATGCAACTTGTCTTTTTGCAGATAGTCACCGAACATAAACAGAGACTAGAAGAGTAGAAGGTCCACTCTCAGCCGGAACTTTGATGTAGCGCTCATATAAGCGGCGGCCGCCTGCGACTGCTTTCGAGTGTTTACGAGGGTCACTCGGAATGCCACACTCATATTGCAGTCGCAGGCTTCGCTATGGGGTTCAATGAAAACGTTATCTGGATGATACATAATTTTCGTGATATTATGAGTTTAAGCATGGAAGGTCCGTTCAAGAATAAAACATTTTCAATATAGTTAGTATATTTCCATCATTTATAACTTATAAAGATGAACAAGAACAATAGGTACCTATAGTTTATGCGAAGTCAGTTGGAAAAACACTTCACCGCTGACCGTCGGTTCCTTTGAAAGTTCAAAGAGAGCGGCAGTGCGGCCCGACATTCCTTTGACGATCTATTCAACTGACTTCGCATGAAGTATATGTGATCTTGATAACGAACAAATTGCCGCTGGTATTACGAAGAAACCTTCCTCGATATTTACAGAAAATCGTTGAGTTCATTCTGACTGTACCTATTACTGTCATTTATGATGTTTCATTTCATTTCAATACAAGTAGATAGTAGAAGAGGTAGATAAGTCAATAGGAAATAGTGGAGCATATTATTATGATTAGTACTAGTAATTCATTTCACGTGTTTTGTTTCAATAGAATATTGAATAATGTAGGCCCTTACCTGAAAGCAATAAGAGTACCTACCTACTAACAAAATAAATATATGTTTTTCAAGGAATAGTGACATGATAGTTTTTTTTTTCACCAAAAATCGTTTGGTCCTTTCGTAATAACAGCAACAAAATGGAACGTTTATAAACAAAATATACAGTGCTTTTGTAAAGTACTGAATGAATTAAGTTTCTGCCAAGTTATCTATTTCTGAGAATTCTCCTGAAACCGGTCAATTTTTATTTTTCATTTGCCACATTCATAAGGGAAAATTGAATAAACAGGGTGATCCACGTTTGAGTTATATGTCAACCACGGCATTTTTCTTCAAATGAAACACCCTATATATACGATTCATAATAGGGTTTGTATAGGGTCTGTATACAGTCATCCGTTGAATTCAATGTTTTTGCAAAGTAATAGATAAGTTCATTTTCATCCATACTATCCATTTCTGAAAAATCTTCTAAAGCAGGACCTCAAAATTCGAATAGGAATCACCCTGTATATTCAATTTCTTCCTTTGACTGTGGGTAATTGGAAATAAAAATCGACCTGTTTCAGGAGATTTCTCAGAAATGAATAGTTTGGCTATGAATTAATTTATTCACTACTTTACAAGATAACTCAATTTAAAGGATAGACTGTAAAAAAATTCGATGTGTGATATACTCTTGAAATCAGATTTCTATGGAGATTTCAAAAATGAAATAATATAATGGGTTTTCCATTTGGAAAAACTGCCGCGTACGTCCTAACTCTAACGTGGATCACCCTGTACTGTACCTATATCTCTGATTTTCACTGATGAATATGACGAATTGAAAAGGAAAATTAACCTAGATTTTCCAGAAATGTAATTAGTTTGCCTAAAAATGAATTACTTTACGCACGGTATGCCAAAAATAATTCAGCTTCTGTATAATAAAAAATCAATCGTCCAATGAATGTTCTTACAAATTTTGTAAGATAATTAATTTTATAATTGGCTTATCAACTTTTTTATTTTCAATATCGCGGATAGCAAATTTAATAGTTTGATGCATAACAGCCTTCAACACAACACAAATCCATTCTTATTAGTCGAAATAATGACAATAAACTGAATGCTGAATGGAAAAGTGCGGAGTCTTATTGGATTCCAACCGGTATACAAGTACACTGCGTTACCCCCAAGCCTAACGTGAAGACCATCGGTATACGCGAGAGTGCCGAAAGTGCTGAGACTGAGATCGGTGACGGGGCAAGAAGGGAAATTTTCGGGCGGAGCTTAGGGTGGTGCTCTGGTGCTTCTAGTCTCTGTTTATGTTCGGTGGTTTAGTTGCTTGAGTTGATTGAGTTGAAGTCATGCTGTCGTGCTAGAAGACACTGAAAAGAATCGCTATCAGAAAAGTGACAAAATAATTATTTTTTTCATAAATTTCAGGATAGAAGAAGTATTATGACACTTGAGGATTTTCTTCGAAACAGGGGGATAAGTGAGAGGACAATAGAATATTTACATGATCAAAAGGTGAGTAACTACTTACTATTCAACCAACTAGGTATTTATTATATAGGATAGATACTTTCAACTGAATTATCCAAACTTCTCAAGTCTTCGATTTAATTGAAATATTCATTGCAGTAATTCTGAGGGTGTTTCCAACTGAATGCGAAAGTTCTTAGGGAGAAATTCCTTGTCGAAAATAAAAGTGAGTATTTCATGTAAACGTGAAATTTCAGCCGCCAGCACCAGCGGCGAAACGTTTGAAAATGGCGGCATTCGGCGGTACCCAAAATAAGAGTTATTTATTGGATGTTCATATGAAAACACGAGCGAAAAGTCGAAAATGATTGAAAACGTAAGTGTTTCAACTGAGTTCGTGAAGACTATAATAGTCTTTACGAAAGTCAGTTGAAACACTTTCGCTTTCAAACGTTTCCGTATGAAAAACTTCTTGAGAACAGCTCTTATATTTGTGTTCCCAAAAAAAAAAACGCTGCTGTTGCCTGCGGCCTGGCGGCTCATTTTCAAACGTTTGCCACTGGTGCTGCCAGCTAAAATTTTATTCGCTGTTCAAACTGACCTCTTCAAGACAACTTATTCTATCAAGAGACGATGATTGCAGAACTACTTGCGAAATGTATTAAGTATACCTACATTCATCTTGAAACTTCGTTTCTCTATCTCATTGATTTTTAATTCGTTCTTGTTTCTTTTCGGATAGGTTTATTTTTGTTATAACCTTTTTTCAACGATTTCTCTCTTGCTGAATTTTATATATTTTTTGAAATTCTACAGCAACATTTCATCAAACAAATTTTATCACTTTTTCATCCTCAATGTTGATTTAATAATTTCATTTCACTCATACGTTATCGACCCAAGGAGTTTTTCGTCAAGTTGAATAAAATAAGGACCACTGCCATTTACGAGAGACCCCATTGATCATCTACTCGCAAAAGTTTCGTCCCCTGAGAGTTACTGTCTGCAAGAGGGCACCAATTGATACACTGTGGAAGACCTTATTGAAAAAGAAATAGTGCATAAACTAGAAATTACCACAATGAGACTTGAATAAAGCAACATCAAGCTTCAAACCCTAACACTTTTTTCTCAGCTTGAATCATCTACTATTACTACACTAGTCTAAAGCCGTACGACGTTCAATTCCTATATGTACCCCAAAATTCATCCGTATCTCGCCATTCTAATTGCGAAGTGAAAATATTCAGGAATGAGGATTGGTTAATTGAAGGGTGTCGCACCACAACTGCATCTCTATTTAATAGGTTATCTTAACTGAAACTCTTCATTCATTTACAGATTGATTGTGAGGCGATTTGTGCCATGACAGAAGATGATTTGAAAGAAATCATTCCAGCCTATGGTGATAGAATAGCCGTTAAGAATTTTGCAAAGAAAAATTCATCATCTACGAAACAAAGTCTGATTGAGAAACTGAAAGCCAAATTCGACAGTAAACCTCAAAAAAAGTATTCGCGAAAAACTCAAATATCGACCGAAAGTATTACTAAACCGACTAGAATTATTGAAATAGGATGGCTTTGTATGCATGACGAAGAAAACAGATATCGACAAGTAAGGACACTCCAAGGAGGTGGTACCAGACGTGTAACAATTGACAAAACTAGCCGATGTACCGACGTTCTGGAAATGTCAAAAAATCTCTTCTTTCCCGAGGGTGTTTCAACGAAGGGACCAATCACTGATTTCAAGGTTGAATTGGTCGATTATAAAAGTCACAAATTCGATGAAAACCTCACAGTTCAAGAAATGTATGAACTGTCAGCTCTGGGAACACTACGGTTTTATTTAGCGACCATCTACACTGGTAAGGATGGAAGAACAGTACTTAAGGATGATGATTTCATTCCAGCGACAATTTCTACGCGACGAAGTGCCAGATTAGACATGAGAGCCTCAACGAGTTCCGAAACATCATTCACAATAGCGGAAACTAGTCGAGGAGAAGCTAGTAGTTTTTTGAGCAGCTTCACTCCATTATTTGATGAAGTGAGTATGAGATGTAATCTGAACAATATCTTATATTTGTAAATTTGTAGTAAAGACATGGCAAATGACCCGACCCGTTTTTTGAGCGATAGGCACACATAGATAAATAGTATACGCCCCCTATACCGTAACTAACGTATAAGCTGTATTTACACTTTAGTTTACGTGTGTTCTGCATGAGGAATATACATAATTATTGTACTTTGTTGATTGTGTTCGTTTTGTTTGGGATTTTTCTGAAAGAACGAAATGAACATGAACACCATTCCCAAACAATTTGAACTTTGTAAGTGTCCATAGAGTGCACATAGAGTACCTACCGACGGCGCAACGATCTTAATTTCAGACGCCTATACAGGGTGTTAACAAATAAGTGTCACAACGAAAAACTGTAGATTCCTCATAAAAAAAAGGTATTTATTTCCTTTTCGAAATTTTTCTCCGGACTTCCGTTTTCAAGATACACAGCGTCAAGAAAAGTAAAAATTTTCAGTTTTTTGCTTCTATTTCAGAAACCGTTTGAGCTACGCAGCTGAGCCTTAGTAGGTACACATAAAAGTCGGATAACGATCCTCCCTGAAAATATACTATTCAGTTCTTTTGCAAAACATTCTGTATAAGAAAAACATAACATTTCCCACAATTGCTGTTCTTAACTATTCATTTTCTGGTTGAAAAAAACAAAATTTCACACTTTTCGAAAAACTAAATGAATCACGAATAGTGGAATCACGAAACCATTTCGAGGTTTAAGTTCAAGCATCACAAAAATATTATTTGAAAAAATCCCAAAAATTTTCCATCAAATTGGGAGCATAAGGAATTTCATCATAATTTGCAGAAAATTGTTCATCGCCCTATATAACAAAATATCAACATGTTTTTTCAATCATCATTCAGGTAGTCATATAGCTGATAGGTTTTTCTATAGATTAGAAAAATTTATCCGAATGCGTGAAATGGTCCTGAAAATATTCGATGTTGAATTAAGTGCAAAAATGTCCTTGTTGCAGTTCATTTGAACAGCAGTATATAGAGTATCATCTCTATAGACTCTATACTCCACGCTAGGATGCCTTGCCTGCGGCTCGTGCTGCAAACTTCATCTGCGTTACCGCTCATTGAATAATATATCATCAGGTTTTGCAACGCATGATGCGAATATATTATTATTAAATAATAGATATTTACGATACGAGTATCGTAAAGACCATATTACCTTGTGAGATGGAAAAGTCGAATATCGTAATATGAATTTACGATACGAATATACAGGGTGTTTCAAAATTCAGTATCAAGATTTTAGGGGCGTATTTTTCAGGTCAAAATAAGACGTTTTTGTCCATAAACATGTGTCCGCAAACGCTTCGTTACCGATCTACAGAGCGTTAAAGTTAAACAAATACACGATGAGACATCCACCAACTTTCAAATAATGTCAAATGCTTCAAAACGAACCTAAACGTCAAAATGAAAATAGCAGTCAAAGCCCACTAATTCGCTTTTTCATTGTTCCGTTGAAAATTTTAATTAAATGTAGCGAATCACAAAAATTGATTTTACTTTTTTCTCGATAACGATCGCAGATGCGTGAAAATTACAGGAGACAAAAAAATTTATAAACGAAACAAAGAATTCATTTCGTATCTCAGAATTCACCAGCGGCGCACCACAAAAAAGTTTATGGGGTAAAAAGGGGCTTGACCCCTGAAAAAAATATCTCTCTGTAGATTCTCACAATCACTCGGCATGCTGGATGATGTAAGCCCTAGAACGTAACCTACATTCCAAATTTGATCTTGATATCTCAAAAATTGAAAGAGCTATGAAGAAAAAAATAAAAAAATCTTGAAACTTTAACGCTCTGTAGATCGGTAACGAAGCGTTTGCGGACACATGTTTATGGACAAAAACGTCTTATTTTGACCTGAAAAATACACCCCTAAAATCTTGATACTGAACTTTGAAACACCCTGTATAGTACAATATTTTACCTACTACCAAAAAACGCTAATTATTCAATCAAAAATTAGGATTAGACGTATACATACTTGTCGTGAATCTATTGTGTACTCGGTTGTCACTCATTCTTCGAACTGTCAACTATGACGCGTTCATTTCAATTTGAGAAAAATATCATCGACAAGAATTCCGATCACGAAATTATATATTCAGATATAGAAATTGCGGCAAATGAAGTAATTCAAACTTCAGTATCTGCTATACTCATGATCATTATAGTTCTAATTCCTGTTTTCTTTGAGTAAAACACTGGAAATTTGAATTATGTTTTCACTTTACCGCACTAGTGCGGTAAAGTAACACTTTTCAGCACTAGTGCGGTAAAGTATATCATTACGATACTAAAATCAGTGTCGTAATGTTTCACATTACATATATTGGTAGTGGGTAAATTCTTTTAATAATTTCGAGTTTGTGTGCTCTTATCCCTGAGTACTTTCAATAAATCTGTTCAATTTTTTCAGGATTTTGCAGCAATTTCGTCAACTGGTGAGGAGTTTGTTGAAGATAGTAACCTTTTCGAATTTTCTGAACCAGCCACTTTTGAAATAACAAAGGAAATCAACACGTTGATATTACACCGTGGAAATATCTTCGAAGAGCTCATTAATTCTGTAAAGATTCATGGTTATGAAGATTTCAAGAATATCAAAATAGAAATGATTTTACCAAACGGAAATTTAGAAATTGCTGAAGATGTCGGTGGCGTTCTTAGGGATACTCTTACCGAATTTTGGGAATCATTTTATGAAAAATGTAGTGTAGGCACGCATTTAAAAATACCTTACCTAAGACATGACTCTCAAGAGCAAGAATGGAGGGCAATTGGAAAAATTTTAGCAAATGGTTACTCGACCGTAGGCTATTTTCCGATTGAAATTGCCCCAGTTTTTATGATGGATTGTTTTGGAATGGAAATAGACGAAGAAGACATTTTTCTTAATTTCCTCAAGTATATCTGCGATACGGAGGCTGAAATAGTTAAGGAGGCCATCAATAGCTTTGACACAATCGATATGGAGGAGTTATTGGAAATATGTTCCAATTATGGATGTAAATGGCAACCAACTAAAGATAATGTTAAAAAGTTATTCAACCAAATTGCTGCAGAGGAGTTGATCCAGAAGCCAGCATTTGTCAAAAATTGTTTCGTACCAGAACTCAAGAAGATTTCTTCGGAAATTGATCTCAAAAACGTATACAAACAACTTGAACCCTCTGTGAAAAATATACTAACTTTAATCGAGAGTAACAAAGACATATCGGAAGCCGAGTCCGAAATTATGAAATTTCTCAGAAAATTCGTAAAAGAGTCTGATGAAAAAACAAGATGTTCCTTTCTAAGATATTGTACTGGATCTGATCTTCCGACTCGTCAAATTTCTATCCAATTCAATGATTTAGACGGCGTTGAGAGGGTGCCAGTAGCACATACATGCACCGGTCTTTTGGAATTATCCAGATCATACGAAAATTATGTGACTTTCCGTTCTGAATTTCACTCTTTACTTAGTTCACGAATATGGGTTATGGACTTGGTGTAGACATATTCCATATTCTTATATTTTTATGGAAGATAAATGTTATGTTAGTTAGGTACTTGCCATTAGGAATGTGATTTTATTTTGTGATTTTAAAATACAGGTGCAGTTTGACTTGAAGCATTCAGGAAGTAAGTAATCCAATGAGATGTAATCCAGTTAGGGACAGTAAATTCACAAATTATTTGAAAATTGTAGAAAACTTATTCTTGTGTACTATATAGGCTTCAATACGTAACGGGCACGAAATGACATAATGAAAACAAGCTGCCTTTGATTTTCAATAAAGTGGGTTATCAAATTTTTCAGTCAAAGCATCAGTTTCATTGAAATTTTTCATCAAAATTTTATTCACTCAAGCTTATGGACGTTTATTCCTGATGATGACAATGAACATTGTCCAAATATTTCAACAGGTGTTATACTTCCTGCATAATGCTAACCTGATTAGGGATGAAGCTAAGCTTTTATTTAACCTATTAGCTACCCCTTATATTATTATATAAACTGTGTGCACTTCGTACCTTTATTGAAATGTTTTTGATATATAACAAATGTGATTTAATTTTATAATTCGTTGAATTAAAGTTTATTTTTTTTAATTTGTCAATATTTATTTGAATATGTGAACCATTTGAAAATCTACTAGGACACCAAATTTAATAAATGAGTCTTTATTTTCAGAGCCAACTATTTTCATTTTTTTAGTTCAAAAAACTAAAAACAATTATTTGCCATTTTTTTATTGATTCTATAACTACATCACTGGATCTACCACATATTTTCAAATGGTCCATGTCTAAATTTCTTTGGAAGGCGTCAATGAATTTAATTAAATATGAAAAATATGATATCTAATCCACTCACTTCTTCAATTTCAGAACATTATCAAAATTCTGACTACACCACAGGATTCAGAATGTCTCGAAATATCACTGATCAGAATTTCATCTGATCAGTGATATTTAGAGTCTTTCAAAATCCAGAGGTGTATAGTCAGATGTTGATGAAAATTCTGAAATTGAAAATTGATTAAAGTGCATATTTTTCAAGTTCCATTACTTCATGACTTTTATAATAATGGACTTTTCGAGTGTTTACCTAATGAAAAAATGTTTGCTTTATAACGGTTTTCCATTTTGAATGGGTCACAATGCATAAACCGGGTGGCTACGAGAAAAAGGGGCCGCCCCTGTACTCCGTTCAATATAGAATTCTTAATCCACTGATATATTTTTTTTTCAATTGCAATTGCATACCTCGTTGGTCCCAGCACTGGGAACAAACGCCCCATAAGTCTAAACTTGTGTGGGGTTAGGTATACATACAAACACAAACATCCATGGCCTAACTAGGATTCGAACCTATGTCTCGGTGGGAGTCCCCATACGAACTCAACGCCTTCGCGCTCTCGACCATCGAGCCGTCATTAATATAATTTTGTTCTTCGAGTTAATTTCGATTTTACTGGTTTGTATAAGTTATAACCCTGCATTCAAAACTATATAACTTGATTTATTCCATTCGATATTTCCATATTTGAATTAACCTCCCGATTTATGCTTCGCTTCAACTTAACCTGTATATACAGCGTGAATTAAAGATAAATCGACACACATTCAGAGTTAACTTTTCTTGTCCGGAAATAAGAGTTTTTTCCCTATAAATATATATATTTATATATATATATATATATAAAACTAGGGAATATTGGGGACTGCAGCAAAGTCAAAAAGAGTACTCTTTAAAGTTGGTCCAAGCTTTCGAAAATCTTTATTTTCATCATCAGGGAGTCTGTAAAGTGATTATTCATGAGTATCATGTAGTTAAAGTAATGAAATCTTTGTGTACTTACAACTTTGTTGAGGATGGCTGACATGATGTTCATGTATAATTTCTTTATGTGTCTTGGTAACATAACATGAAAAAGCCGAAAAATCATCGATAAAAATACAATTACATTACATTGAATCACACGTTAAAATATTATAAACTAGTTAAAAGTCACATCTTCCACCACATGGTTGGAATTGTTAGCAGATAAGGTTATTGCAAATGGTGCCAGGAAATGAGTTTTTTTTGAAAAATGAATATGACTGACATATGACAGTGTGTGTGAAGACAATTGTCATGTCAAAATGCACGAAACAGTGGTACCAACAGACAATGTGTACCAACGTTGAAAACTGAATTTTGAATTGATTATGAGTTATCTAAAGACAGTAAAAAGGAATAAATCTCACTCAAATGATTGATATCCGTTTTTTTATTTATGCAATTATTGCATTGTGATATAAAGGCCATTTCTAAGAAAGTTCTTTTCATCAGATGTTTTTCTCGTGCAAGGATTTTAACATCATCAAAATTCATGCGGTGATCATATTTATTCACATGTTCTGCAAGTGCACATCTTTCTGGGTGCAGTCTGCAATCACTCCTATGTGAGATTATTCTATTGGATAGTGACCTCGATGTTTGGCCTATATATTGGTTGTTACAATCATGGCACGGAATACTATAGATTACATTTGTGTTAGATAACAAGGGCACTTTATCTTTGATTTTAGTGTGCAAGGATTTGATAGTTACTACTGTTCTACTGTTCTACAACTTTAAAGAGTACTCTTTTTGACTTTGCTGCAGTCCCCAATATTCCCTAGTTTTATTCCTAACTAGTCAGCAACGACTACCCTTCTACATATATTTATATATATATATATATATATATATATATCCTTACTTGCTTCGTTTTCGAGATACACGGAGTCAAATGTTTCAGAAAGAAAGCGTTTTTTTAATAATCACTCAATAGTTACTTGTTTTGCTAGGCAGAAGAGCCTATAGGCGTAGCTGAGGCTAGGAAACCAAATGCCAAAAGGCATTGAATCTTCTTTTCTGCCATGTGAAACATACATTTTTTTTTTCGAATTCCTTCCAATTTCACGCAAAATCCAAATATTATTCAGAACTCCATCATGTTGTGTTCACCCAGTCATTGTCAATTTTGATCACTAATTTGATTCATAATATTACTTTTGGAATATTGCATAGCAGCAATTTTGCAAGACTTGAGGCCTTGAAGTGTATTTTTACCTGTCCTGCCTAATATGCAGTAGAAGTCCGTGCCTGTTGTGTCATTAAAAAGCCACTTTTAAGTAATTTGGAGAAAACATCATTTTTGCTGATTTTGATAAAACTTGTCAACCTCATCTGCAGTAGCAGATCAAGTGATTAACGTTTGAGACGTCTGGTAATGAAGAAAACACGTAAGTATCGAATAAAAAAAGTACACAATTCGGTCATTATTTGATTATCATATATTATTATCATTATATAAGTGGCAAATTAGGTCAGATTCAGAATTGTGAGAACAAAAACTGTATTCTATTTTTAAGCTTCAAGTATAAATCTACAGTTTCATATGGATCAGAAGAGCGTGTAAAACCATCTTCCTCCATTTCTATAGAGCACAGATCATGAAAATCTTTATCACATGGCGTTTCGATAAATTTGCACTCAGATGAAAGAGTTTCAATCGCAAATGGAGGTATGGTGACTAGGTGATCCTAAGCCCCATAAACACTGGGCATTTCATACATTATAGCAGGTCTTCCGGCTGGAGCAATGGCATTTCTAGTTTTCCGAATTCTGTGAACATTCCACTCCAAAGAGATCTGATCAAGATCGTCCTGAAAGAAATAGAGCGAAATAATGTGGAAATCCTTATGGATTATAGTTAGAGTTTAGCAAGAAGTAAATGATCATTATTGCACACATCTGATACGAAAGATATATTTTTTTATCTATTCCGCGTAATGTTACTTTGGTGATCGATACCTTATTTTCTCAAAGAGGCGCAGCCAAGTTAAAAAAATAGTCGAGATCACTAAGTATTTCGGGCAATAGTTGCATTCAAAACTTTTTCTGCAAACGCCGTGAACTGGCTGCACCATTAATGTTAACATTGTGAATAATATTAAAATTAGGTAACAACTTGAAAAGTGTTGAAAATCCATAATAATTATTGTTGAGCATTTTAGAAATACGTTATTCATTGGATTTTTTGCTTGATTGGGAACCATAACCGTTAAAATACAGAAATCTACTATTTTTAACATGCGGTGTGCGAAATATGTATTTTGTGCAATATTTCGCACACATTGTCGTGTTAACGTGGGAAAATGAAAAAAAAAATGGGCACCTCGCATATTGTTATCAATGCGAGACCCTCGTAATTTTTTGACGCAAGTAGAAATAATCATTTATTATACAAGGGTAAAAATATGAGAATTCAGCTCGAGGTTGGGTTGTCTCCCGACGCGAAGTAAAGATATACAAACAACCGAGAGCAGAAATCTAATACTTTTCCCGTGTATAATAAACTTTTTTTTCTTTGTAAGGATATACAACTATTTAATATTGAGGAAACATATTATTACAATATCTTATAGTTATAGTACATTATCGATGTCAAAGTTTTGCAGTGGAAGGCTGTGATAGCAATGATTAGACCCTAAGGAAACCTATGGGTTCGTATATCCGGAAAAAAGTAGTCACTTTCTTCCGGAGAAAAAAGTTATTAATACAAAGTGATATTCTAGTTTTCATGAAAACTATTAGAAGTTATTTATTGGAATTGATCATACACGTAAAGTACAATAGACTTCTAGGTGCATTCGAATGTCTGAAAATAGTGAAAAGTACTAATAGCATAAATAGTGAAAGAGGGCCATTTCATTCATCTCCTCCCAGTTTTCAGTTCTTGATTACTAAATGGAGCTTTATTGTGGTTAAATTATTAAATTATCAGCATCAACATGTACTTGGTCCATTGCTTCGACTTCTCCGACTTACCTGTATTAGGGACATGAAACAGAATTGTATCAAGGATTTGTCCAAGAAAGAACCATCAAAATCATTATTTCCCTTCAGCATTTGAAATATATTCATCCAATACTGTGCACCATGTTTACGTAATATGGCCCACCATGATTCAATGCGCTGATTATGCATACTTTTTCCATAAAGGAAAGATGGTCTATTTGTGGAAATAGTGTTGAACAATTCGTGTAATATCTCTTGTAATTTTTCGATTGTCCCATTTTCAGTACCCATATCACATCTTACTGTCGCAGGGCATCCTCCAACTGACTTTATTGCATTTAGAAAATGCCCACCAATTACCTGGAAAATTTTAAGATTTTTCTATTTTTGATTACGAAATATGAGAATATTAGTTTTATTAGTTTATAAAGTTTATAAACGTCATGATCGTAAAGGTATGTTATGATGGAAGTGTTTTCTATAAAAATCAGTCCTAATGACATGAAATAACTGGTCAAAGTATAGCAGATTTTGATGAATTATTTCATATCATCAGGAACGATTTTTGTTGAAATAAATTCCACCGAAACATATATATCCCACGATCACGTTTACATAAAAAAGACTGATATCCTTTATATTTATTAATAAAAAGGCTTCTAGATCGTTTTATTTTAGCTACTCTCTGCTCCTTTTGATGTATAATGAAATCAAAAAA